TTAATGACTCCAAAGACTCTTGCCATTGTCACAGCTGCCCAAGCCTCCAGCTATGCTGTAGATGCTTTCCCTGGTTTTCATTCAGATGAAAAAGCCTGGAGGGCCAAGACCCTCAACCTTGACCCTTCAACTCTGAGCAGCTAGAGTCGCTCTGGGCACATCACAGGGTTCGTTGAGTGCTGGTTAATTGAGAGATAAGCCAGGGCCCCTGCAGGTGTCACTGCAACAGGAAGACTCAGGTAGCTTCCCTGAGCCAGAGGGGCAGAGGGGCTGGGTCCACCACTCCCTCCTTCCTGCCTCTGCCCCTCCTCTTTGTCCTCACCTCCTCAGCTCCACTTCATAGCTGGTGCTTGGGGACTCATTCGGGATGGGTGTCCAGTGGAGGACGTGGTGGAAGAACTCTGCTGTGAACCACACAGACGAAGGGCTGGGCAGTTCGGTCCCTGGGGAGAAGAGTGCCAGCAATCAAGCCCGCAGCCTTTACACGATGGTGGGGGCGAGGAGGAGAAAAGCCGCCCCACACTGAGGACTTTACTACGAGGAGTCCTGGAGGTGTAGTGGTTACACATCGGGCTGCTCACCACAAGGCTCGCCATTTGAAACCCCAGGTTGTTCCTGGGGGGCTGGGGTTGGGGGGAGATGAGGCTTGCTACTCTCAGAGAGTTGCCGTCTTAGAAACCCACCCAGGGGCAGTGCTATCCTGTCCTAGGGGGTCCCCATGAGTCAGAATTGACGTGGTGGCCGTGAGTGTGGGTTTTGTTGGTTGGTTTGTTTCACTATGAGCTGATCACTGTACTAGGTGTGTTTGTTTAGTTCGCACAACAGCCCGATAAGGTGAGCATCTACCCCATGTCTCCCCAAGAACAATAAGAGGCTCAGGGAGGTTAAGTGCTATGTCCAAGGCCAGTCTATTAGTAAAAGGCAAGGGGGGGGGGCTTGAATCCACCTGTGTCTGTTTCTGCAGCTGGTGTGGCACCCTGCAGCACTGGCGAAGGCTGTCTGCAACTAGAGTTGACTAGGAGGAGCTGAACTGGGTGCAATGCACCCCAGGGAAAAGACAGAGGCTGAGGGCTAAGGCGCGTCAGCCAGGAGGTCTCAGATGACCTCGCTGGTCCACTCCCTGTCCCTGCTCCAGCTCCATCGCCAGGGCTGGCCCCAGCCTCAGGCCACCTCTCTGGACACACAGCCTGCTTAATGACATCTGTCTCTTTCCCCTCTTGGCTCTCCTGGGCTACCCTAAGCCAAGTGCTATCCCCTCTCTCTGAGAAAACCTTTTCCTCTAGCCCCATGCTCATCTCAGTCTGTGAGCACAGACGGTCTGAGCCAGCTCTGGCTCTTGATGGACCTGAGGCTGCTTCCACACAGACACAGCCCCAAGGTGAATACGGAGGTCCCATTCCCCATCTCCAGCTCCCCCCACCCCCCCACCCCCGTTACCATTCACCTTGAGTGACACCCACTTTGACTTTGGACAAATGACAACTTGCTGAACCCGTCCCTTCATTTGTGAGAGTGCCACCAATGGACCTCCTTGAGGAGCCTGGGGATGGGTGTGTGCACTGCCAGTGTGCACTCAGTCCGCCTGGTGTCCCCTCTCCCAACCTTTCCTACCTCAGACCGACAGCCCCCCTTCTCCTGGTTCCCTCCATCTCTAGCCTCTCTGGATCTCCAGGACAGGGCTCATGCACCACCACGACCCTGTCCCCCCATGCCGCCCACCCACCACCCTCCTCGACACTCTCTTTAGAAAACACTTCTGTGCCAGCCTCTTGCTTTCATTCTGAGCTTGTCTTCCATCCTTGGTCTTAATTTCAAAACATTAAACGGAAAGTGAGAAAGGCAGCCCATCTCTGTGGTGTAGGATTTGCACATCCACTCTGCTCTCAGTCGTGCGAGCGCCGCTATGTGTTTTCTTGGCTGTAGTAGCAGTTCCAGTCTCTGCTGTGCCCTGGCTCTTTCATTCTCTGTGAGATTTTACTCCTCTCAAGGGGCTAAACTGTCCCAGGAGAGAGGGCAGATGGTGAGCCTGAACTGAGGGGTTGGGGTGAGGGAGGGGGCAGTGGGGATGAGCTGGTGGAGTAGAAATGGTCAGACAGGAATGGCTCCTGGGACTAGGGGAAGGGGCAGGAGCTGTGGTGTGTGTGTGTGTGTGTGTGTGTGTGTGTGTGTGTGTGTGAGAGAGAGAGAGAGAGAGAGAGAGAGAGAGAGAGAGAGATTAATAATAACTAATGAACAGGTGAGAGGAGGTGGAGTGGATGAGGATTGAACTAGGACAAAACAGCTACAGAAAAATGCATGGCTTGTCCTAAGCAGAGTGTGCTGTGACCTGGAGTGGGGTCGTTTCTCTTTACCACCAGCACACGCACGCACGCACGCACACACACCTACACATCAATCTCAGCCTCTCCAAGTCCACCAAGGGCGAGTCAGGGCAGCAGTCTCTTGAATGCAGGCCCGCAGCAAAGAGAGGAACCCAGGGAGAGGATGCGATGAGCGCTCCTGTGGTTACCGGTGGGGAGAAAGACGGGACTTTCTACTCCCCTAAAGAGTTTCAGTCTCGAAACCCCACAGGGGCAGTTCTACCCTGTCCTCCAGGGTCCTATGAGTCGGCATCGACTCGATGGCCGTGAGGTTTGCGTTTTGAGTCCCCAGAGGGCCAGCCAGAAGGGCTTTATGTACGGGACGCGGAGCTTTAGAGTGGTGACCGGGGCGAGCTAGCTAGAGCGAGCGGTGGCCA